ATTCATCGATTATACGTTGCATGGCATGTGTTAGTTATTGGTGTATGAATGGTATAAAAGAGGCAGGACCGCATAGGGAAGACCAAACGAATTCAAAGTATCTCTTCTCAAAGAGTACAAGAAAGTTCTCTACTATCATTGTGCAATAGGTCAAAACTCTATTTGGTCGGCAAATTAAAATGAATCTACTACACGGTTTGTTTTCGGTGCTATTTATCGTTGAATTTTTAGTTTTTTTCTTTTCTTTTATGATTTTCACTTTTATCCAATAAAATACAATATTTCTGTAGAGCTGAAAGGAAACACGAAATTTCTTTTTCTAGGAACTCCAAGGCAAACGTAAGACAAATTTTGTTTTCGTACACGCTTTTTATGATTCGAAAAGATTTTTTCTGACTTCTATAATATTCAATTCGAAAGTACTTCCGCAAAAAACCGATCGATTTCTGCCCTATGGAAAAAATCTTTTCAGAGGTCGCCTTAGTGCTCCGATTCGTGTTTCATTTTAGCAAACATCAACAACTACACAGATTTTACGTTGTTCCTCACACAGAGATACACAAACACCAATGCAGTGTCCGCATTCATTATATCTTTCGGCATCTGTCTTTCTCTGTATCATCTATAGTGATGCGTAATACAGAATATAAACGATAGTGCAATATGATCGATTGTCTCTTTCGCACTTCAATGTGCGTGCGTAATACGGTATAACCGACGCTTGAGTGAAGGATGACCAATACGTATTGAAATGAATTGGTTATCTATTTGTATTGCCATTGCTCACAGTGATGCTCACTGCTCACGGTTGTATGAAAAAGGCAACAAGTCATATTGTAGCATCTAACAATTTTCGTACGACGGACCAACACAAATTATTCAGAAAAATTAAACGCAGTATTTCATACAGACGCCGTATCGTTGTTTACATGTTTTGAGCGTGTTGCTTTGTGTGTGCTCGCACACTGTGCGAGTGTAAAGTATTTGAAATCTTATAATTGAGAACCAAAACCCAACGGTATGTTGTTGACCAATATACACTCGCAATAGCAGCGATGCAATAGAATTTAGCCACAGTACACACCGGTCGCAACTGTGAAAAGAGTGAGGATTCGTCTGTATATGTGTTGTATAAAGCCTGATTTGTTGTTATGGACATGCGGCGCCTCTTTCGGGATAATTTTGATACCGAAATTGTTTCGGAGGTTCTTTCAACTTTTTTTCTAATGGACAGATGGCTTTTTCTCGCAAGCTCTTCTTAAGGGCGAAGTGATTAAAAACATGTCACAGGCAAAGTTTGTAGCTGGAATCCATATCCCCGCAAGTAAGTCTGCTTTAGAATCATTTTCATTTTTTTTTCGTGTGAATTTTTGTCCGAAAAATTCAAATATTCTATCAATTTTGCTAGGGGCTGACCACGCCTCTGTTAATTGAAAATAATACCAGATTTTATCATTTTTTTCAAACAATATATTTATTTACAAGTGTGACATTTTTCGAACTTTCTCCAGAAACGTTTCACTGCAAATGATAACTTTCAATTGTGCGTTGTTATCAAAACGAATATGCATTTCTGTCGGTTTACTGTCAGAAAATTCATAACATTGTGGTGGTTAAAAATATCGTTCATAGTGGATTATAGATTTAGTCAAATATTTGAGTCAACATACAGATGGTATTAAAACTGAATGATAGAAACGAATTTTATAGATGAAAAATTCTCGGTTCCCCCCCTAACCATTTTGTGTGTGTGTGTGTGTTCATTTTTTCTTTGAATATTATTGCTTGTACTGAAAATGAAACGATTTTATTACAAAATATTTGCATGAATACAAAGACCATCCAAATGATCCTAATAGAAACATTACGCGTAGGTGTACCGCATTTATTCTGTCGAAAACGGAAATTATCACGAATGCCCATTGTGTGGATGACGCTCCATATGTTTATGTGGTAGCTGGTACGAAAGTTGTATCAGATGCAAACCAGAAATTTAAAATCAAAGTCGAAAAAGAGAACATTGCATGTCACCCACATTATAGTCATTTGATTGTTGGTGCATTTGATATTACCAAAATTACACTGAAAACGCCGTTAGAATTCAGCGATACCGTTGGCAGTATTGAACTCGTGGACAAGGATTACAAATTGAATAACCCATCAGAAGTGGTCACTGCCTATGGATATGGCGTGTTGAACAACACCTGACCATCGATATTGAGGCGTTGCGATGCGAACTATATGTCTGATCTCAAACGAGCCAACACATTTAACATAAGTCAGACTTTGTACTTTACAACTGGTGAAGCTACGAATGATGGCAAAATTATTACACACGGCGATTCGGGTGGACCAGTCGTTTCAAAAACAAATGGCAAAATAGTGGGGATAACAGTGGGTACAAATGGAACAACAGGTGGCCGCGGAGCATTCCTTCCAATTACTATATTTCTTGATTTTATTTGTGACCCAAAGGTATCTTATCACAATGCCCCAATTTTTATTCTCAACAACGCAAACAAAATCATTTTTTACATTAATTTCAGAGCGTGAAACCAATTCCACCTCCGCTTACACCTAAAGAAGCTAAATTTATAGCCGATATAACGGCACCGGGAAGTAAGTGTGCATTCAAAATTCGAACTAAATCAAACCGTTTTTAACGTCACTTTTTTTATATTTTAAATAGAGGAGAGGCAAAGCAGAGATGACTTAAGCGCACCCGAGTATTTTTGTTGTATTTTCGTTCTACTTTAGCTTTTTGGCCAGGATTTTTTTTAAATAATATTTTGTGTAACATAACGAAGAAGAGCTTACATTTTCTGCCCCCGGTATTCGCATTGTGTAGTCATATGCACCTAGTAATCACGCGCATTGGCTCAATTTCGCAATATTACGCAATTTCTACTTTTGGGGATTTTTTCTTCATATTTTACTAATATAAATGTGGTTTTTCAAAAACTGTATAACGAAGAAAAAAACAAAAAAACAACACAAATACTCGAGTGCGCTGTAGCGCACTTGGGTGCGCTAAAGTCATCTCTGGGCAAAAGTGGAGATTTCTCATGATTTATAGTATAAATATTCATTCTGAGATGTTTTTCTATTACAGAATTTCTTACTGCCTTCAAGAGTAAATATGCCGATGCTGACGAAGATTTTCAAATACAATTTAATGCAATCATTTTGTCGGAAACGGAGATTTTGACCTGTGCGCATAGTGTGCTCGGCGCCCCATATGTCTACGTAATCGTTAATAAACTATCAAGAAATGCGACAAAACTTAAAGTCACTGAAGACCAGATAGAAATTCATGAGAAATACGCACTGTCGGGATTCGCATTTGACATTTCCAAGATTACACTTAAAGAACCGTTGGAGTTCAACGATAACGTTGGCAGCATCGATTTGGTGGACAAAGATTACAAAATGAATGACCCGTTCAAAATGGTCACTGTCTACGGCGATGTGATATTGGATGGAACATTGAGAACGAGGCGTTATGATACAAAGTATTTGGATGGCGCCAAATGCAAACCGAAAGTGCCCCTCATATTTGATGCAAATCATTTGATGTGTTACACTTTAGATGAAAGCATGGGAACTCCCGCTACGTTTGGAGGTCCAATGATTTCGAAAAAGAATAACAAACTCGTGAGCATGACCATAATTCGTTCGCGTGGTAAGCCAGTTATTTTTCAACCAATTGCACCGTTGCTTGATTAGATCCGGAAGCCAAAGGTGAGACGTAATCGAAAAAGAAAAATGGCTTGAAAAAAAGGGGTTTTAGGGGCCTGAAAAAGCTGAATACCGTCTCTTTTTTTGTCCCTGTCATTTGATGTTCAACAAAAGAACCAAATAAATTTGAAAATTTTTAGAAAAATGCATTTTATTTTTCATTAGCCCAAGCGCAGTTATATGATTATCTAAAATAATTGCGATATATATTGCAACGAGGTTTTTATACAAACTTCCCATGTAGACGGCCGCCACACAGGCGAAAATCGAAAAAAAAGTGTAAATCAAGACCACAGATCGTTGCTTCGCTCCGTTCTGCGTTCTTGAAGCTTGTAAATTTAAGGGGTTTAAATAATTTGATGTTTCTCATCAAATTATTATCGTAAGCACTACATGGAATGTAGTTTTAATCGTTTAGGCGTAATTGCTTAGCTTGAAATAAAAAATATGGATATTAAAATGAATAAATTTACGGTCCAAAAACTCTCTCTTAAAATTTTCTTAGGAAAAAAACAACTACAGTAGCCTACATTCCATGTAGTGCTAAAAATGTCAAAACTATAATTTCAACATTGCAATCATACAATTGGCACCCATAGAACGAAGGAACAACTTATGGGCTCTATGAGAATGATTGTATTATGACACTTTTTGAGCATGGAAAATGTGCGGCTACAAAATTACAGATAAAACATTATCATTTAGTTGATTACATCTAGTAATGCATAGTTTTAGGGCGCATGACGTAGGACATAAAACATTATCCGAGCATGATATTACGTGATATTAACGACGAAAAAACTCTTAATAGTTTTGATTCACCCATTATGAATCGTAATTTTCTACGAAAAATATAGATTTTGATAGAACAGCAATATTCTTAAATCAATAGATACTTGCTGTGTTTTTTCATAGAAATTTTCGATATTTTTGTTTGTTGAATAGTTACCTTTTGCAATTCAAATGCGATGCATGTTCATGCCGTTTTTCTTACAAACAAGTTACAAAGAAGCAAGATTTCCTTTAAATGAAACATAAATGTTGGTCGCTTGAAAATGAATCGTGATGAATCTGAATTGAGAAATTATATTTCACATTAATTAAGAAGATATATGTATAGATGATTAACTGATAAGCACTGATGAAGGCTAAATACCTACTTGTTAATTGGCGTCAATCAAAAAAAAAACAACCATTTAAAAAAACATTTATGTTTACATCATTCTGTAAAAAAGGAGCCAAACAATGAAACGCCTTGCATCTATCAAATCTAAAAGCGATGAAAATTATTCCTCTTTATTTTAATTAAACTCCATAAAATTGCTCTATCAAAAACGATTTCTGCATTTTGTTTTTTCAAAAACACACGCAACACTGTGACATTTCTTCAAGGCAAACTACATTCGGTATCACGGTCGCCTGGAATGATTTCACTATACGCAGCATAAAACTGGTCTAACGAACATTTTTCTCCACATTTCGGAATATTCATTGGCAAAAGATGTTCCTCTTCGGCGTTTCGGTAGAAGAATTGAAAGTAACTTTCATTTTTTTCTGTTTTATACAGCTCGAAATGTAAGCTCGATGCATAATTTGGTAAATGTAACTGGAAAAATCGAATCTGTAGTAAAGTGTGTCTTCTAATTTCAAAATATCAAAAGAACATAAAAGCAAATATCTAGTTATACACATTTATACTAAACATCAATGAAAAATACCTTAAAAAGCCCTAGAGTATTCAACATGTTTGAAATCATTAAATCGTGAGATGAATATAGCCAGAGAGAACGATCTGGGGACAGTGTTGCGTTGATCTTCTGCGTGAATCGCTCGAGCATTTCTTTTATCAAAAACCCGGTTCGAAGGCGAGCCAATTGTGGTGTTGCTGAACCCATTTGAAAGTAAAATTTTGCCATATATTCCATTATTCCATTCGGTTCAATTGCTTTTTGTGCCCATGCTGCTAGTCTGCAGATAAATTGTGTCGCTTTTTCAACGCAAAAGTGACAGCTTAAAATGAATTAAGGTACTAACGATTTGTTGTGCAAATTCTCAATGTAAAGTGTGTTGTACAAGAGAGAAGCATCGCCGATCGTTTTAATATCCGATCCGCACATTTTCGACCAAAATTTCAACAATTGTTGATATTTTGTTTGGAGTTTTTGCACTTCGGGCGAATTTTTTATATACTCTTGGAAAACGGCATCATACTTTGAGCAGTTCTTTGGCCCATATAACACATAATCAGCTATCAATGGTATTGTATGCACTGGTATCGGCTGCCAGTTAGAAATATCCTCATTCCAGATGTCATCTCCAGTTGGTGGATACAAACCTATGAATATAAACCTTTATAAATCTGCTATACGGATATAAACCTATACAATATACCTGCTAGGTTCACCAAAGCACTCATAATCGTTCGATCGTAATCTGTTGATCGAACATACACTTTATCTGGTGAATACTTATCGCCAATGAGTTTATTGTATCGTCTCTTGAGAAATTGGCCCAGCTTGTATTCCTGTTGCTTTCCTTTCTGTAAATTGATTTCCAATGAATGAGTTATCGAGACAATAAACAAAACTTAAAATGTATTTTGAATTCGTTTTACTCAATACTGAATTAACGTAAATGC